GCACAGCCCCTGCCTAGAGGGAGGCAGAGTTGCGCTGGAAGCAGCCCCAGAGAGCCTTGGGGCGCTCGGGCACTTTCAGAGAAGTCTGAGGTGCGCGACTTCGGAAATTTCAAAAATCAGCGCTCTCCTCTTGGCCCCGTAGCCGTTATTTTTGGGGAGTGGGTGACCCCCTCGTGCCCGTTAAAGGCCCTAAACTGGTGATCAGCCTAAAAAAGAAAATTGCAACCTGACTTGACTTTTGAAAGCAGTAGTCGCCTTCATCAGATGAACGACTCACATGCACATTGTTACCTGTCTGTAAAGGAGGACAGAAAGAGAGAGAAGTGAATAATGGGAGATGCTGGCAGTGATACCTACCTATTGATTATTAGTAGTCACAAACTTTCGGGGTGTGTCCAAGGCCTGGTGTTGGTTGATCAAGGCTGTATTCCCCAAACATTTTAGGCCAGACTGCATTCACACAACTTGCTAATCATGGCAAGCTTTCGTCTTTGTTAGATCTTTTTCTCGTGTATTGTGCAAACCCAGGAAATCGGTCAACCCAGTAACCACATTAAACTTGTAGTGTGACAATAAACTTTGGTCTCTTGTTCAAGTGTACAAAATGGTGTTAAATCTTCTAACTCAGTGAGTGGTAGATAGCCTGGGGGGAGGTGGAAAGTTCTCTCCCTCCCCCCGCCCCCCTCGCTATTCAGTGAAGCCAGATTTGGCCCCATTTATTCTTTTTCCCTACAGCAGTGTTTTTCAACCTTGGCAACTTTAAGATGTGTGGACTTCAACTCCCAGAATTCCCTAGCCAGCCTGTTGGTTGGGGAATTCTGGGAGTTGAAGTCCAGACATCTTAAAGTTGCCAGGTTTGAAAAACACTGTTTTAGAGACTGGCCAGTTTGGCCCATGAAAGTGTAGAGCTTTGCTTTTGTACAATGGCTGGTCTCACCTTAGAGATGAACACATGTTGTAAGTCCTACAATAGAGTTACCAGCAGAGTGGGCTCCCGAGCCTTCCATTGTTCCTTGGGTCATTGTGGCATGATTGATGCTTGCAGTTATGAACTGTTTGAGGCTGGGTGCACGCAATGGCACACCACCCAAGGTTTGTGAAAAGGAAGCGGCATTGAGCAGATTATCATCATGAACTACCAGGTCGGGCTGCTGATAACACGTTAAACAGTGGGTTTTAACTGGGAATCATTGGTGACAAATGGTGGTTTGTTGTCTTCTCTTCTGGGTCTACCTTGCACTAGGTTATTCCTGCATGCCATGGGCCCTTTTGACTACCGCTTTCACCTTGTTGGATGAGCACTCTACTTTGAGAAATGCCTGATTGAAATCCCTTAATTTTGTGTTCCTGTTTGTGAGAAGATGGGGCAGATAGAGTTGCATTGCTGGATTAGCTGTGAGTAATTTGTGGCATGGTCCATTGTAGAGGTCTGTCATTTTCCAGTGTAAGTTGGTCCAGAAGTTGGTCCACCTTCATGTCCAGAAGGTGAATGTATTATATGGACTGGTCTAGGCTCAGTTGATGGTGGGGTGGAAGTAACTGATAACCAGATGAAAATTTGCCTGGGCTTCCTGTCCATGGGTCCACATAACCAAGATGCTATCCATTGCTGCTTAACCAGGTACAGAATAACAGCATGCTATAGAAGAGGACATACTTCAAAAGGTTGCAATCCATGGGTAAAAGAGTGAAAGAGCTGTGGGTCCAAGTAGAGGTTTCATCCATCCTCCCCATGGATGATCACATGCAAGAAATGAAAACATGATTTTGGAAATGAACAACTGGCTAAAAAGAGTTTGTCCTCAAGAAACATTTGGATTCCTGCTCCGTGGCTTCCATTATCAGCATAGGAGATTTTTAGGACGTTGGGCTGCAGTTCACAAGGGGAGAGAAGAATGTGTTTGGCAAAAGCTTGGTGAACCGTAAGAAGGAGGGCTGTAAAACTAAGCCAGAAGGCGGAGGGACTCAGGCACAAACTCAGATAAGGGTGAGGGAGCCCTCCCTAAGATTGAGAAAAGAGGAGAAATGCAGCTCACCAGGTTATCTTAAGCAAATTCAGTCCTCCGGGGCCAGATGAATTACACCATATGGGATTGAAGGAGCTCACATTCTGAGACATGGTCCCAGAATCACTGACTGTAATCTTTGAAAATTCCAGGAGAAGACTGAAGGAGAACAAACATAGCTCCAGAATTCAGAAATGGAAAGAGGGAGGGCCCAAAAAAATATAGATTGCTCAGTTCAACATCTATATAGGGCAAGACAGATTATGGAGAAGCATGTCTATGAACATTTCAAAAAAGAACGCTACCATTACCAGGAGCTGGTGTGAGTGTCAGGAACAAGTAATGCCAGACTCACTTTACCAGATCAGTAGACCAAGGGAATGCTGTAGATGTAGTTTATCTTTTGAAATATTACATTTCTCCTTATGGACCAGATAGATAAATCTGGGCTAGAGTTGTACTGCAGTCTGGTAGATTTGAAACTATCTGTGCAATCACACTCCAAAGGTGCTCATAAACAGTGCTGCATTACTCTGGAGGAAAATATCAAAGTAGAATCCCCATAGCTCTATCCTTGACCCAGCGTTATTCCATATTTTTATAATGAGCTAAAGAATGGAACAAAAGAGATAGCTGGCCAGCCAATATTCTGAAGTTTAAAGAACCCCAGGAAAGTGTCCATGACCTTCTGAGGCAGTCTCTTCCATTGTGGAACTGCTCTTCCCATTACAACACTCTTCCTGATATCAGTCTAAAACCTGCTTCCTTTAACCTAAACCGTCTGTTTCATGTTCTGTCTTCTGGGACAACTTTGAACCAGTATTCCCATCTTTTCCATGACAGCCCTTCAGATACTTAAACACAACTATCATAGCTCCATGCAGCTTTCTCTTGTCCCAGATAAACATTCCCAGTATTCTAAGCGTTCCTTTTAAGTTTTTCTTTCTATGGTCCTTAGCACTCGGTTATTCTCCTCTGGACATGCTCCAGTGTCAAAGTTGTTCCTAACATATGGTGCCCAGAACTCAACATAATATTCTAGGTGCGATTGGACCAATGCAGAGTAGAGAGGAATAACCACATCTCTTGACCTTGATGCTATACAATATTTGTAGTATCTGTTTAGGAAAAAGATCTATTTTTAATATACAACCTAATCATAAGCTTATGTGTACATGTGGCAAAAGAATGAATCAATCTTTCACCCCAAACATTCAAATCAATCATGCTCCTAAATTCATGAGAGGGGTAACAAATAAAGGGGTGTTAGAAAATTTCTAATGTGGAACTGACTGTTTTTGGGGAAGCATTAAGAGTAGCTCTTGTGAAAAAAATGAACATTGAAGGAAAGAAAAGAAGTGAAACAAACCAAGAACAAAAGCAGAATGACTGCATGAAAAAAAGTATAGGTCCTGTATGAAAAAGTATTAGAAGAAAGAGGATGTAGAAACTTGGAATAGAATGAAAAGTGCACCACAGATGCCATAGAAGAGTGTAAAGTTAAGATAATGGAAGGATGAAAAGGATGATTGGTGGAAGGGTGAAATCAAAGAGGCTGTAGATGACAAAAACACATGCAGTAACTATAATGGATTTTTTTAAAAAAATGGTTTAAAAGGAGGAAGAAGGCTAAACAAGAAGCCTTCAGCAGAGCAAGTAGAATTAAAATTCAAAATGATGGAATGATGTGGGATGAAACCAAAGGGTCAGAATGTTAGAAGGAATATTTTAGTGAATTGTATGGAATGATAACAATATGTTGAAAAATGGAATTGAAACAAATGTTATGAATAAACACTAAATGTTAATGTCCAAGAAAAATTGATGGAAAGGAGGTCATAAATGCTATGAGAATATTGCTGGAGGTGCTGTTGGCTAATGCCGGTGATCCACTAGGCATTGAACTGAACTGCCTGCAAATTCATACAGCAGCTTTGTTTAGGGTTACTAACTCCCTTTTAGGGAGGTGTCATCAGAATGACCTCCTGCCTGGTCACTGTGACCAATTTGCACAGTACTCTGCTGACAAAGTGGCTCAGGTTTGCCGCAGTCTTGCCTCTGGATAGGTAGAGTCTACCCTAACTGAAGCATCATGATGCCCTGTTACCTGGGATCCCTTTTGACCTGTGAGCTCTGAGGAATTGGATAGGGTGCTGTCTAGACTGTTCCCTGTCACATGGACATTGGAATCCTGCCCATCCTGGCTGTTGTGGGGAATGGGAGGCAGACTGGCAATGTGGATCCATGAGATTGTCAATGCTTCCTTACATGATGGCAGCATGATTTGCCTCTGTAGTCTTGGATAATTGCCATCCAGCCTTCCCTTTTGGGAGAAGGTTGCTGAGATAGTGGTGGTGGATACACAGCACCCTAGAGGAAGTGAATTATCTAGACCAGCGTTTCTCAACCTTGGCAACTTTAAGATGTGTGGACTTCTTAAAGTCCATGCTGGGGAATTCTGGGAGTTGAAGTCCACACATCTTAAAGTTGTCAAGATTGAGAAACATTGATGTAGACCTTTATCAGTCAGGGTTCCAGCCTGGGTATGAGACTGAGACAGCACTAGTCATTCTCCTGGTGACCTGTGGGGAAGCGCACCTCTCTTTTAGACCTCTCAGAGGTTTTTGATGCTATCAACTATTGTATCTTGTTAGACGGCCTGGAGAATCTGCATATGGGGCTCTATTTTGCAGTGGTTCCACTCCTTCCTCTGTGGGCAGTTTCTATCCATTGTGGTCGGGGAGAAGTTGGCTGGTGGCCCCACTTACGGGGTACCATAGGGTTCGTTATCAAGCCCCTGCTTTTTGATATCTGCATGAAACCACTGGAGGAGGTCATCTGACAGTTTGGATGCTGTTGATGTTCTATCCCAGGGCCTGGAGAGGGTGAAGGACTGGATGGGAGAGAACAGACTCAGACTGAACCCAAGCAAGGCAAGGGTCCCCGTTCATAAATCAGGATTCTCCTTTGCTGTCAGCGTTAGCCCTGGAAGAACAGGCACTTCCCATCCTGATTTGGAGATCCTTCTGGATTCTCAGCTCCTGCTTGAAGAGCAGGTGGAAGTTACACCTAAGGGGGAGACAGCTTTGCTCAGCTTTGGCTGGAGCTCCAGTTTATCCTGTGGAGCAGTGTTTCTTAAACTTTTTTCTCTAGGACCCCTTCCCACTTTTAAAAATTATGGAGGACTCCCCAAAAGCTTTTGTTTCTAAGGGTTATATTTATCAATATTTACCGTATTAAAAATTAAAATTGACGCATTTGCTGCCACTACCGCTTCTTATGATTGTTTGATGGGATTTTAATAATGTATTATTTTTCAACAAAGGCTGGCAAATAATTTTGACTTTGCAGACTCCTGAGTGGGTCTTGCGGGACCCCCAGGGGTCCTCGGACCACCCTTTGAAAAATACTGCCGTAGAGAGTAAGGAAGATTACCTGGGCAGAGATACATAGGTGCTGTTGCCTAGTCAAAAGGGGCTAAGTTATTTTTTTAAAGTTCAGAACATCCAGATAACATTAGGAAGCAGCTCAGGCAGACCCCTCTCTAATTTGCTGAACTATAAGGAGGGGAGGGATAGCACAATCAGATTTGCAAGATTCTGTTATTAGAGCCAATCTCAGTAAAAGTAGTTTTAGCCGTCCTGTGGAGAAGATTTCTTGCTCTGGTCTACCTGGTGGGGCTGACATGTCCTTTCCTGGTGCAGGAAGATCCACCAACAGTAGCTCATCCTCTCTTCACCACTTCCACAGGTTACTGCAATGTGCTTTAAAGTCTACCTGAAAACAGAATCACCTTGTATGAGATGGGCAGCTATATAAAATATGATAAATAAATAAATAACAGAGAGTTCAGAATGCAATGACTTGCATCTTAACGGGCACCCAGTGTTGGGAGTGTATTAAACCTATATCATTGGGAACATCATAAGTCACCTCGGTAGCTTCCAGAGCTGAGAGTGAACTAGAACTTGGGTCTCCCCAGTGCCAACCCAACACCTTACCCACTATACCACACTGTCTCTCAAAGGTTGCAAGCCATCTTTTGCCCAAATGGGTGGGAGCTTCCCAATCATTCCCTCAGGGTGGGGACATCTCCATGTCCTCTGTTTCATACCTGTGATCCAGCAGGCCAAGGCCATCCGTCCCCTAAAGATACCTGTATGGCCAGTATTGCCACAGTGAGACTCTGTACAGTAAAGGAAGGCTCCAGGCCCTGAAGGAACCAACAGTTGTTTCTATGTGGGTTGGTTAGAACACCGGCTCAGTTAAATTATTCTTTTTTAAGGGTTGTCTGCTGTAAGGAGGGGTAAGAAAGAAGATGTTCAAGGACAGAGGGAGAATACTGAAAAGATAGGGGAGAGCTTTAAAGAGAAACTACACAATTCAGCAGCCAGGACACTCAAGTGTGGAAGATGCAAGGGAAGAGAACATTCAGGGAAAGGAAGGGGCTAAGGGGGGAATTGACACTTCCTGGCATGAAGTTACGAAAATCTAAATTGAATGGTCTATCCTGATGCTGTCAGTGGCATGACTGGTCAGTGCAGTGTTCCTCAACCTTGGCAACTTGAAGATGCGTGGACTCCAATTCCTAGAATTCCCCAGCCAGCATGCTGGCTGGAGAATTCTGGGAGTTGAAGTCCACGCATCTTCAGGTTGCCAAGGTTGAGGAACACTGGGTGAACGGCTTTTCTGCTGACCGGAAAAAAGATAATTGCTGAAGAGCGTGGATATATGCGTATTCCCTTAACTGTCAAAAGCATTTGCCAGATACGCTGAGACCTTGATGCTACATTGTTCGTTGTTTTACCCAAACAATCCTGCAAATGAGGAGACCCTGAGAAGGTGTTGACTCAGCCTTGGATAGCCACAGAGCTTGCTTGGAAAGGATCAGCTTAATATCATTGTTTTTCTTAATCCTATCTGAATTTGCAGAGCGAAGAGGGTCACCAAATCCCTGCCAGGTTAGAGTCCCTTTGCAAGCCCCCCAAACCTGCCTGCCAGCCGCCTTCTGGTGCATAAGGCTACCAGCTTTATTCCAAGAGTGGATTATTTGCTGTGAATAGCGTTTTGCTTTCATTTTTTGAGCAAAGTATCACAGTCCTTGAGCCCATTTAGGGAGTGGGTAGCAAATCAGGTTGAATTACAGGTCTGTAATTAATGGAGGCTAAATTATGTGGATTGAATGCGAACGTAAGCAATCGGTACAACCTTGAGATGGTTTGGTCCCACTGAGAGAATGAATGAGAATTGAATTGCAAAAGAAATGCATAAAGGTAGAGTAAATGGTTGGAGAGGAAGGGAGATCAAGAAAGTGACTGTTGAAGAGAGTTGATGAGTTTCTGAAAAAGAAGGTTTAAAAAACAACGGCCAATATATGGAACAGTGTATGGAGGTGGTGGAATCAAGGATGTATTGCTGAGAGAGAGGTGAACGGTGTTGGTGTAAACTAGTTTTAGCTGCTGTTTCCTTTGTTGCTAGTTTTTTGCAGTGCGTATATATAACAGGGCAACCCGACCTCCCTTTCCACCACTTTGTCCTGAGCAAGAAGACCAGCTGTGGTTTTGGCCCCCAACCCTGCTCTTCCCTGCGGCGCCCCTGACCTTCTCTTCCCCCTCTGTGGATGCAGATAACCAGTTCAGGATGTCTATCCTGGAGCGACTGGAGCAGATGGAGAGGAGGATGGCTGAGATGACTGGAACCCAGCAGCACAAGCAAAGTGGGGGGAACAGCAGTGGCAATGGAGGGAGCCAAGCACAGGTAAATCCCGAATCTTGAAGTCTGATTGTGCTTCTCCTCCCCTCCCTCTTTCACCCCAGTGGGTCAAGGAGGAGCTATCCTAGGGCTCTTCTGAATGCCGTCTCCCTTCCAGGACTTAAGGCATGCTTCTGTCCCTTGTTTGCACAACGGTTTCTGAATATTTGCTTCAAGACCCCCTCCCAGGCTCTCTCCAGTAGGGCAGGCACCGCAGAGAAGGCGCATCTCCTGGGCTGCACCAGATGACAAGCTTAAGTGATGGGATCTGGACTATACTTACCCTGTCAGATCTTATCGGAGAGGCAGAAGTAACCGGAGACAGCCAGCCCTGCAAATAACCAGGCCCTGTGCCATGAACCGTTTTATCTCCACCTAAGATAAAATTTTAAACAGGAATTTGAATTAAGCAACAGCATCATCTGTTGACAACTCAAAAAATGACAGCAATGAAATGGGGCTTTATTAACACAACGGCAGCACTGATTTCTCTCTCTCGCTGCTCTGTTTAAGGCATGGAACAGGTCAGAGAGTCAAAATAAACCAGGGTTAAAAACTTAACAAGCTTCATATGTTGTGCAAATGGACCTTTAACTACCCTGGTTCAGCGTGTCATGAGAAGTCAGGTGTTACACAGACATCTTGCTCATGTCGGTGATTGCACTGCGGCTGAATGAAATGTTCTGCAGAAGATAAAATTCTCTCCGCCAGTATTAAGTAGAACTTATATTTTATGTAAAACATTGAAGCAGTGGGAAAGGGAAACATGCATATTTTTCTAGGGTACTTGGAGGAAGAGGGTTTAATTGCCCCTGCCAAGCAAGTGTTCTTTTAGAACACATTGCAAATTACATTAAGAGTAGTTAGAAATGATCAAAACAGAACTGCTGGGTTTATGTTTTGAGATAAAACAGCATGCATTCATCTTCTTCCTGTTCAAATGCAATGAGATATTGGTGCTGGAGGTTAGGAACCGCTGTGCTTTGCTCAAAGAGCCACCCAACAGAAGTTTTACTTTTGCTGCTGCAGATAGGAACAAAATAAACATTGAATCCAGCGGAGAAACTGTCAACAAGGCAACCAACAGAATTGTATTATTATTTCAGCTTGAAATGGCGGAGGGAAAGTGATATATTATAATGCAGAAATGGAAGAAAATTGTGTTTTAAGTTTAGTGCAGTCTAGCTAAGGAATGTCACATAACTTATAGATCATTCTAAAAGAGACCCTTGTTTTAAAGCAAAATGCCAGTTATTCCACAACAGGTCCCAGAACAACACACCTCTTTTTCTCCATTTTTTTCTTTCTGACTCTGAAGGAAGGCTGAGGGATGTCACCATCAGGAGTGGCTGCGTCCACGGTGTCCACACACTCCCCTGTTTACACTTTCCCTCCCTGGTCCTTGTGTGTGGCTATAGGATGTCCCATGCACTAAAGGAACATCTTCTCCAGACTCTGCCACCACCAGCATAAAACACTTTTCCTTCCTTTGGGCTCTTCCTCGCCACACCCACTTACTTCACACACATGTGCGTCCCTTGGCTTGTCTTCCTCAACTCTGTCTCCCTTCCAGTGCATCTCTGAGGCTGCCACCTTGGGGAACTGCTTTGAGAGCCGCGTGGTGGTTGTGTGTGAGAAGATGATGAGCCGAGCCTGCTGGGCCAAGTCCAAGCACCTCATCCACTCCAAGACGTTCCGGGGGATGACCCTCCTGCACCTCGCAGCAGCCCAGGGCTATGCTACCCTCATCCAGACTCTCCTCAAATGGCGGTAAGAGTTGGGGAGGTGGAGCTGTTTACCTGGGTCTTGGCTCAACTCGCCCAAGGAGAGCAGCTATACCGAGACTCTGGGATCCAAGAATCTGCCAGTCGCCAGCCGTCCTTCCCCGTGTTATCATCACAGCAGGCTGATACTTTGCAGCTGGTTCACTGCACTTGGTGGGCAAACCAGCGCGTATACCTGTTTCAAAACAATGCCTGCTTTTTCTCGAGCACCTTCCTGCTTTGTGGTGCTCTTTCCCATAAGGAAGTGTGTGTATAAGCCACAGCCTAGCTGCACTTGCAGGCCCTGAAAGAAATCAGATTGCCTTTTTCTCTGAGCAAGGAGCTTGACGTGTTTCATCTTCTTCTTGGCTCCTCAGCACCAAACATGCCGACAGCATTGATCTGGAGCTGGAAGTTGACCCGCTGAACGTCGACCACTTCTCCTGCACTCCACTGGTATGGAGCAGTGGCCTTGCATCTCTAGCTTGGGCCCTGAGATGCTTGAGACTGGGAAATGGGGGGCGGGGGGTGCATTTCGTATTGCTGGCCTGGGCTATTGTGGAAGGAAATCCTCTGCACCTTATTACACGGTGACCGTGATGCGCCAACTTGCTTTCTCTTCCAGATGTGGGCATGTGCTTTGGGTCACACGGATGCAGCTGTGGTCCTGTACAAGTGGGACCGTCGGGCCATCTCCATCCCCGACTCGCTCGGGAGGCTGCCTTTGACCATTGCCCGCTCCCGCGGCCACGTGAAGCTGGCCGAGTGCCTTGAGCAGCTACAGCGGGAAGAGCAAACGCAACTCAGGCCGGCCCCTCGGATCCCATGCCCTTCACGGGAGGAGCCCAGTGGTGAGAACTGGACAGCCCAGTGGCCCAGCAAAATCATTGCCTCTCAGGACCAGCAAAAGGGAATCACCGTGATTTCCAATTCTAATACAGGTAGGTTTTCAAAGGCCTTCTCTGTCCTCCTTCTCAAAGAAAACATCAGAAGAATGTTGGTGGCCATTCTACATTTTCCAGGAACAGGCAGCACCAAGGTCAGCAGTGTGGTGCTCATGGGCTAGGCTCCATACCTCACCAGGATGTATAATTCTAATTAAAAATAAGAATTAAATGGGAAGCTGTCATGCTACAGTACCAAGACCAGTCTTTGTGTACATGGACGTGACCTGGTCAACTCAGAGAAGAACCACGGTTGCTGCCTTGCCTGGGAGGTAAAACAGGCCAAGTTCACTCAAGGTCTGGATTTGGTTACTCAGTTAACCCACTTTCTGGAGTTACCCCAGACAGTGAAGCTTAAACTATCTGAACAGCCCGTTCACCCAACAGGTTCAGCCCCAGAAAACCAAAACTTGTTTAAGGTTAATCAAACTTTACATGTTTTAGTTAAGCATGTTCTGCAAACCCAGTCCTGGAAGAGAAGCGAGCATAACAGGAGCAGTTCCACAGGTTCCTTTCTGGTAAATCAATGAGGGTTTGTGTTTTGGGCATATTCCACCACTTAACTCTTCCTGGTCCTTCTCTTTAACTACCTCATTTATGTCCAGCCTCCCTCCTTCCCTGACTCTCTGTCTGTCCCTCGAAAACTATTATTCTCTCTTTCACCCCCAACGACCTTTTACATTCACACACACACCCTCACCAACTAACTCTCCCCACTCCTGACCAGCTCAGATACTTTCTGCACTTCAGAATCTTTCTTTCAGGTGGTATCGACCACCTGGTACATAACACAAGTCAGAAGCTACAGATGGTCCCTGTGGAAGGGCCACCTGCCTGAGCAGGTAACAATCCCCTGTGCTCCTTCCTCCCCAGCCCTTGGCCCTCCCCCATCGTCAGGACAACCCACCTGCCAATCAAACAGTGGCCAATCCAACAACACCAGGCGGGAGGCAGGGGAGGAGGAAGAGGGAAGACAAGATGGCTACCTGGGAGCGCTGCAGCCACAGGCCTCATGAAGAAGAGGCTGAAAAACAAGTCGAATAAGGAGGCAAACTAAGAGAGAGACTGCCCTGATGAGAAGAGGCAGTGGAAAGGAGGCGACAGTTGAGAAAGCCAGGGGGAGGGAAGCGTTTTTTCCCTTCCCTCAGAACTGGCCTGAGGGAAAAAATTTTCAAGCCATAGATGGAGCCAAGATTCCTCTCCTGAATCTTCAAGGAGTCCAGAAGCCCAGCCAAGAACACACAAGCAGAGAAGATAAAGGAAAATTAAAGACTTGGCAGAACAGAAATAGAAAACGGAAACTGAAAAAAGAGAAGACAGATTGAAAAAGGAGGAGAACTCTGCAGAGAGTGAGGGATTAAGATTAACCCTAACCCTAACCCTAACCCTAACCCAACAAAAATATAGAAGTCATCCATAAACAAATCTATTGGAGACCCAGAAGAGAAAGATGTGAAAATAGAGTGAAATTGGACTCCGAAGAACATAGTGTAGATAGAGCTTATAGAAAATAGATAGCTAAAATAGAAAACAGTTTTATTATTAAGATTAATTTCTGAACTAAAGGCATTTATAATTTACAGTTCCTTTGTTCTTTATTGGTAAGCTTTCCTTTTGAAAAATAAAAGTCTTCCCCCAGCCATTGAAGGGAGATACACACCAAAAAAAAGAAAGAAAGAAAAGAAAAGAAAAGCAGAACCAACTGTCCAAGTTTCCAGGGCTTCCAAATTGATTCTGGATTAATTTGGTTATTGGTGGTTCAAAAAAACCCTACCCAAACCAAGAACCTGTGAGAGTCCCTCATTTTTTGGAGGAGGGGAGGGCCCCTAAAGCAGTATTTTGGGGTGATGGCACTTGCCCTGTTAAATGGTTTCCCCCTGAAGCTAGAGGGCAGCCCCATGGCTGGTTATAAGACTAACTGGTCTGAAGAGGGAATGAGGCAATTGGGTGTACAAGCTACTGGGGAAACCAGTATGTTATGATTTAATGTTTTTATTGTCATCTTGTATTCTTCTTTTCTGCACTATATTGCTAACCCCCAGAAGTCTATGTTAGGGCTGGGTTCAGATATTGAAAACATTGAAATGGTCTTGCATGTCAGAGAGGCTGCCTACGCTGGCTTCACTTTCCCTTCCCCACCAAGAACAATTTTTCTGGGTTAACTAAAGGGTCGCCTTCCATTCAAAGAAAAACACACTGCTTATCGGAATAACACGGATCTGAAACTAACACCAGGGATCTCCGTGCCAGTTTATTCTAAGGCCGGTAAGCATAGTGTCCCAGTTCAGGCAGACTGGGAGACCAGGGTTATCTACACAAGAAAGCCTTGGTTCCTAGCATTATGAAAAGAAGGGGATGTGCCATGCTTGGTGCACAAATCAGGCCTATCAGTTGGAGTTTTTAGTCTGTAAGAACTGCTTTGGGTATTCTGACCCGATCGTGACCCCAAGATGGGAACAGAGCAGGTGTGCTTCTGGCTGCGGGGAGGGGATGCAGGCTTGATGTCGGCATAACCACATTCAGGATTGTCCCTGAAGCTGAGCTCTTTCCCAGTCTGGAGGAAAGAACCCCCGGAACAACCATCTTCAGCCGAGGGACAGTTATCCCCCTCCACAAAAGCTCACACTGGCTGCCTTCACACAATGTCCCAAGTTAGATGAGCTTAAGAGGTTGAGCTCGATGAGTTGCAGCTTTGTGGCTACATCAATTGTGCAACCTCAGAAAATAAATGAACTCAGTTTGCAAATAATGTGTTGAATGAACCTAGCTAGAGAGAGACCTTCTGACCTGGCTTGCCTCATCTTCACATGCTGGGGGCCGATGACAAGGCTGGGAGGGCCTCTTCTGCCCCTTGGCTGGTTCAGCAGAGAAACGGCAAGGCGTGCTCCATAGAGCTGGTTTGCTCCTGATCTTTCCTTTCTTTGGTTTCAGAATTGAGAAGGCCTCGGTCTGAACCCTCCAGTTACTACAGCAGTGAGAGCCAGAAGGATTACCCAGCACCCAAAAAACACAAACTGAACCCTGAATGCTTCTCTACTCGGCAGGAGAAGCTTCTTTCCACTGCCCTGAGCCTGGAGCAGCCGAGTGCCCGGAAGCTGAGCTCCAGCACTAAGCCCTCTCTCCCCGAGACAATCAGCCCCAGGCATGGGGTACAGGACTATACCCGGGAGCTGGTCCCTGATCTGGCTGGCTACCGCGGCTCCGGTGGGGTCAAGTGGAGGCCGAAGGAGCCATATCTTGGCATGTCGGCGGTGCAGGTGACCGGCAGCTCTAAGGGGGTGGCTCTGGGGAAAGACTCAGGGGCCCAGCGGTTGCATCAGCGGGAGCAGATGAGCGTGCTGATGATGGCAGATAGGGATGTGGTGGAAGCAGAGCTGCTCTCCTTCCGGGACAGCACAGAGAGCGAAGACTGCTTACACCATATGGATGATCTGCAGGTAAGCAGCGCCTGGAGCATACCCTGCAGCCAACATGCAGAAACTTCATTAGAAGTCATCCCCCCCACCAGTTTGCCATACTTTCCATTCTTACTTATACAGGAAGTCCTCACTTAACAACCACAATAGGGACCGGAAAATTGGTTAAGTGAGTCACCACGACCAGACCCAATTTTATGACCATTTTTACAATGGTTGTTAAGTGAATCACGTGGTCGTTAAGCAAATCCAGCTTCTCCAATGGGCTTTTTTGCCAGAATTTGCTTAATGGCCATGTGATTCACTTAACAACTGTTGTAAAAATGGCAGCAATTGTGATCATGTGACTGCAGGGGATGGTGTGACAGTTTGCGATGATTGTAAGTGTGAGTACAGGTTGTAGAGCACTTTTTCCAAGGCCATCGTAACTTCGAACCATCATTAAATGGTCATTAAGTGAGGACTACCTGTATTCTCCTTGAATCTCCTTTATTTTAATGCTCTCAGTTTCCACAGAGAATAGGTCTGCCATATAGAAACAGCTGATTGCATGCCAAGAGAATTGTCATATGTAGCAAGTGACTGTGCACAACGATTGTGTGTGGCAGCCACATGATGAATGTCCCTTGTCAAAGCCAGTGTTTCCCATATGCGTAGGATTTTTTTCTCCATTAAAATGGTTTTTAGCTTTTAGAGCCCCAAAGAGTGTGCTGCTAGTTCAGTTTAATTGTAAACTATTGAATTAACCAATTTTAGCCACTATGAAGCACTTGATCTATCATCCGCCTCCTTGGTTTGATCCACGAACAATGGAGTGTGAAATCTGGATGTGAGGAATATGTTCAGTTGGTTTCCATGTAAGTGTGGCTGGGATGGATCTATAGTCACTAGGAAATCATAGGTTTGGGAAAGACCAGGGTTTTGGTCAGTCCCGAGTCTGCAGTGCAGTAATCTGTTCCATGGTCAACTCACTCCTGTCTTCTTGAGCAACAGAAGACAGCTTTGCTCCTTTCTGCACAACAGTCCTGTTCAGAGGCTTCCATCATGTCTCCCCTCTATCACACTTTCTCTTCTTCAGGCTAAACACAACCAACTCATTTCTCCTAACATGGTTTCCTTACCATCCTGGTTCACAGGATGTGCCCTTAAGATGTGCCCAATCTGAATGTGGTTTGACCAGCCCAGAAAAAGTGTTCAAAGTTTTGTTCTAGTTCAGGTTTCACGTATTCCTAAGAAGACAGCAAATACCATTCACAAGTCTGATTTAAAGAATAAACATCTAGCTATAATTAAATTATTAAAAGAGGGGCCCAGTGTATTCAACAGCGTTAAAAAATAGTTGCTGGAAAAAAAGCCGCAAAGCTGGATTTCAGCGAGGCTGATCTAGAACCAGGAAGCAAGCAAGATAGACGAAGTTGTTCTGGGTCCCACAGAGGTGGTGATAGGCTCACCCAGTTTCTTCCAGATGAAGTGCTGGGATGAGTGAGATGTGTGTCCCCAGCAGACCTAGAATTGGGGATCTGAGAAAGGTCAGCGCAGGGATTCAGGGGCAGAAGAGTTGGCCGTCATGCCCATAGAGCTGAAGACACCCTAACCCTGAAATTCTTGCTGCTTGAGGGCTTTGGTGGTGGGCTGTGAATAACTGTCCTTGCCTCTTGCAGGTGACCATGATGACTCTAGCAGAGCACATCATCGAAGCCACCCCAGAGAGGATCAAACAGGAGAATTTCGTGCCAGCAGAGGAGGCGTCCCCAGCAGAAAGGACAGACAGTGCTGCCATTAGCACCTCGATGGGCTGGCTGGCCAGTTACCTTGCAGACGTGGACCGCTTGCCCAGTGCCGCTCAGATAAGGTTTGTGGGCTTGTCGCCCAGAGCAGGTCAAAGCTTGTGCTGGTCTTGGGGCTGTGCCAGCTTCTCTCACCCTTTACCAAATCTCACCCTGGGCAGCAGGTGCTCTTTCTTCTCCCTTTTAACCCCAGCCTTCGCCCAGAAGGCACGAATGGCACCCAGGAGGCAAATTCACAAGGATCCAAGAACTCCTGTTATGTCTCCTTTAGGAAGCTGAATCCAAAAAGTTCCAGCCACCGCTGTGTTTGCAAAGCAAGCCTTATGTATTGAAATAATATTCAAGCTATTCTGTACCTCGTGTCCCCTCTTTTGTATAGGAGAGCCAGATTTGCCTCTCATGTTGTTTTTCATGGAACCTGTGAGAACAGAATCTCACAAAAATCCAGGTGGAGATGCAAGAATCATTTTGGGGAGATGGGAAAGAAGGAAAAGAAGAATTGGTTTGGTTTCTCCTCTGCGCCAGTCCTGAGTGAAGCCACAGGTTCTTTTCATGTGCTGGATCAGGAGAGGGGAGTCAGCAGCTGGATACATGATTCATGTCTATGCATAAATAACAAATAAAGTGGGACAGGGCTTTAATCTACAGGATTGCAGCCATTCAGTAAAAGTGGATGCCCACGTTTCCTTCCCCCTCCTTCCCAGCAGTAACTTGAGATGATCTAACCCCTGTTCAGCTCTAGCACCACTCTGAATTTTCCAATCAAGATGAGTGGAGTTAACTTGCATTACCCAATGTTCTGAAAAAGGTTTGTAATCTGATTAATATTGGGAGAGGAGAGGAGCTGTGAACCTGATCTAGAAAAAGTAGCTGATAGACTAAAAGCCAGGTTCAGAATGAGTGAAGCAGACAATTCGACATGTTGCCCTTATCTCTATGACTACAGTGCTCACAAATGGCCAGTCAGGGTTGTACCTTTTGCATGTAATGTTTGGGCACAACAGACTCTAAAATTTTGTCTCGGTCAGCCCTCATGTAGATCAATACTACTTGATTGTAAAGCTATAGTAACTGAATCCTGCAAGTCTGAATGTGCTTCCCCCCTCCCTCCCTTTATCTTCGTGAGTACTAGTCTTAACTGAGACGTTTACTTGCGCTACATTCTTGGCCCGGACTCAGACCTCTTCTATCTGGCCATTGCCTTGATAGCAGCTCTCAAGGCCATTCTCTCAAGGCCATTCTTGGTCCCTCAAGGCCATTCTCTCTTTCCTTTACAGCAGTGTTTCTCAACCTTAGCAGCTTTAAGATGTGCGGACTTCAAATTCCAGAATTTTCCCGCTCCACCGCGCTGCCGTGGGGGGGCTGG